CGGGCCACGCGCTTGATTACTTAAAACAAACAAACATTTTAAAACTGACAGAAACGGCGAGTCAAGAAACACGTCGCTGTGTAAACACGCACAGTTCACACAGCCAAAACGAATTTGATAAGGGGTTATTATTTTCACTTCTTTGTTTTTCTATAGTTGAAACGAGCCTGCACTCCACGTAACGTCGCTTTTCATTCTTCTGGCAAGTGAAACGAGTTCATGAACTTCCATTCGGGTCAAAAATATTTGTTTACTTAGCTCAATTGTTTTATAGATTATAAAACACCTTTTTGGAGGACCCTCTGATACCTTATTGTCAAACTGCTGACAATTGACCAGAAAACACTTATGCGGAACAATGATTGCAATAAAATTGCAAAAAATTGTTACCGAATCGACTTATTAATTTCACAGGGTCTTCAAGAATAATAAGAGCGGAATTATGTACCATACGTGTGACTGTTGATTTCTTTCGCGAAAAAATAAATTGCGAGGAGACAGATAGAAACTACCTCTGGTACGGATTATTACCCAATCGGATCGCGTTCACCTTTCACCGTACATTATAAATACAAAGGGAGGGATCAACTTTGTCCAGACTTTAATCGGACAAAGCGCTGGCAATTGGTATAACGATTGAGAAAGCGTCTGTGGAAAGGACCAGGGAGTTTTCAAAGAAACCTTTAGCGGCTGGCTTGGGAATTGGCGGAATTTATTTCAGGTAAGAGCGCCTTTTTATTTCGCTTACTCATTGGAAAGTCTATATGTTCTGTAACTTATCTTTTATCGTCTCGTTTTGGTCTGTGTACATGTAATGATAACCATAAAATCAAAGTAGATGAAACTGTTCCGTTGTCAGGAGTGGTAGTCCCAGGAATGGAAATCCATTATATGAATAATACAGGTTAGGGTTAGTTGGAGTATTGAGGCTAGTATATGAAACGAATGACACCTGTACAAAGTAATTGGAACGGTCTGCGGTTCCTCGAAGACTACTATTCCTGCAATACCGGTAAATACGCTTAAAACGACCATGAGGACAATTTTTCCTTTTTTCTCTGAAAAGGCAACGTTATCTGTTATCTTCGCGAGCATTCAAAAGCAGCACTTTGATAGATTTGGTTGTATCGACAGCAGTCCTTTTGTTGCTATTTTAGTCATAAACATTTTCAGCAACAGCTTTGGTTTTTTAAATTCAACATATTGAACAATTTCAACATATTCAGTTAAATGTTTTAAACAGGACATATTTCTGGTAAAGGCAATTGACTGTAAGCCACCCCCTTAATTCGCCAACTTTCATTTCATGTCATTTTGTTATATTTATTTTATAATCTCGCTTTATTTGACCAAAAAGCCAAACAATTTGCCCTTCTTGTACTGTACATATTATGATAAAATTGTCCTTTTTTTCACTGTATTAACGTGCAGGCAAAATGCTTCTGCTGTGTTAGTTTACATAACAGGCAAAGCGAGACTGATAAATTTCGTTTTATCCTTAGCCAGAATCTTTCACTAATATACACTGTATACCCATATGTCACAAACATGTATCGTTAATTTTTTGTAGCTTTTGCATATCAGCCGCATCCCTTCCTTAAACAGCCCACAACCTATTTAACATTACTTTTTAATGCTTTTTAAAGACAGGGTAGTGGTATTCCAATGTTGTACATTTTACATGGCTATAATTTATTGGGAGGAATGTTTATCTCGTGTTATCATCCCTGTGGCACGATCGTGGACCCACAAGTGGGGGTTCAGATTTTTATTTTGAATTATGAGAATCATATTCTATGACATTACATTTCGTTACAGATAAAACACAGGGATGCCATTGTCACTACGCTATTCCTTGGCCGTCTCGCTGTGCCAGCTACTCGTGGTCTTACTGCCTTATGTAAATGGGGATTCCCATCCAGGTTCAACACTACCAAATGAAAGACTTAACGATTTTCGAGTCGGTCATGGGAACTCCACTTTGCTTTGGGCAATCACCACTGGAGAGTCATTAGAGTTTACTTCGTCCATTCCTTCACCTGCCCCAACCGCCGAAACGGGCGCCTCTGACGACTTACAAAATTCCACCGTGCCAAAGAACGATGTTGATGCTGATGGTGATGATGATGATGATGATACCATTGTCCATGTTAACGCTCTTAACGCTTCAACGGGTGCCACCAACTCGTCCTCTCCATCGCCATCTCTGGGCAAGATTGATTATGTCGGCTACGTTGCAGTTCCTTTTTTTCTGATAACGGGCCTCACCGGGAACACCTTCACCATTCTGATCATGAGCGGCAAGCAGTTTCAGAAAATGACCATCAGCACGCTTCTCATTGCCCTGTCTGTTTCCGACTCGCTTTTGGTGGTCATGGCGCCGTTCAACAAGAAATGGTTTCAGCAGATGATAGGTGTAGACGTGCGCTCCTTCTCTCTCTACAGCTGTAAAATATTCTACTGGTTCTGGCGCATGGCAAAGATGACGTCGTCTTGGTTTGTCGTCATTGTTGCCATTGAAAGGTGATTTTTGAAGGTTATTTTAAGAGAGGCATTTAAAATAGCTAACAATTGTTACGTGAATGGTAATGATGTCATGATAATAAAACAGATTTTCTTTAGAAAGATAATGTTAAAATACCCGAACCCCTTAATAAATCTCGAGAGTTTTAGCCTTAAAAATTGGGAGATAATGCACGATTTCGAAAAGAGTGGAGAATATCTACAACTACTCTAGTTCTTTTCAATTTCAGGTTTATTGCGGTATGGTTTCCTCTGAAAGTGAGGACCTTATGTACCAAACGGAACGCTCGGATTGCTCTTGCTCTAGACTACATTTGTATTGGAGCATTCAACTTTGCCTGGGGTACGTTTTGATATTTCTTTTAAATTTTCAGAACTTTCAGAGGCACTTGTGCTTCAGCATTTTCTGTTTATATACTAGATTATGTTTTTTGAATACATCTCCAACCGTAAATGTTAGTTTACACATTAAAGCTAAAATGAATTAAATATTTTGATATTCTAGGATTCACAATATAGAAAAGGGGGAGTCTATTATAACAGCTCAAATTCCACGTGGCAAAATTTTTATTCTTAATCAGTCTAATCCGTAAAACTAGACAGAAAGGTTGGGCAGGACTGTTAATTACTCTTTAAACTAATGTTTTGGGTGTAGCTATCCTCTCTCTTAATTCTAATAATAATTCCTTGCGAGCAATTCATATCCATTTGAAAGACAAAATATCTCTGCACGTTAAAGATGTACTTTTCCAACACATACCCATACGAATTACAAATTATTAATGACGATAATAATTCAAATCCATTAAAGGTAAAATGAGGGCTTATTTATAATATTATGCTGAATTGCAGTGATCCGATCGACCTTCTTTGTCCGCTTTTCACACATACCACGGACCTCTGTGCCTTATTGCATATTTCTGATAAGACTCCGAGTCTGACATCGCAAGGTGGCGCTTTTGTCGATTTCTCTCCTCGCCCACGTATGTACACAAACCGGCCCAAAAACATACATTTACACAACATTAATGATATCTAACCTCATTTACACTTTCGCACCATTGTGTGAATTGTTATTAAAGACTATGGCAGCTTTTCATTAACACCAAGCTGCCCTTGCGACTTTTATTCTTATTGATTGGTTTGGTGATTATTTTTTGTGTGTGTTGTCAATATACTTCGTGACTGTTTGGCTCGGTGGGAAAAAATAGCCCATAGTGAATACGCCTACTGAGTTTTCCATCGTGAATTTCTACAAACTGAGCAAAAGTCATTGCGCGGGATCAATACCCATTACACAATAACAATAGACTGAAAATTATCTCTTATATTGTGGAATTTTTATGTTTTTCAGAGAAATGTCACTAGACCGTCACATTCTGTATTCTGACAACCGCGTAAAACAGTTTTACTGTAACCCCTTCTCTTAAATGACCACGCAAAGAGAAAATCAGTTGGAGGGTTTTGAGTTTTCAACATGTGAAATTAAAACAAAAAGAAGTGTTGATTTTATGTATTCTTGCAGTGCTTCCTATATTTCAGTTTGGGTTGCCGATACTCTCACCCCCTCGGGCACGTGCATCCCCAATCACGCCACCACCCCGGAATTCAAGACCGCGGCAGTGGGGTTCATTTGGGCCGGCAGCTTCGTCTACTCCATTATTCCTACAGGTAAGCTTTAGTGGGAAGGCTTATAGTTAAGTTATTGTTTATATCTCTCTCTTTCTCCCTCTCCCTTTCTCTGTCTCTTCCTCTCTCTCTCTCTCTCTTGATCTTATCGCTCACCCGAGAGTATCAATTATTTAATAAATTCTAAAACTTTCACTTGACGCTTTTTCTCTTCTGATGCGCAAAAACACTTTTCAATAAACACCTTCTACTGAGCACAAAGTTTAAGACAATACTTTTTTATTATTAAGAAGTAGAAGGCTGGGCACATGGCTTAACTTATCTAAGAAACAGTTTGCAGAGCTCGAACGTCATTCTGTCAGTAAATCAATAACTACTAGAGATTGGTTTAAATTGCCTTACTCTTATCACTTTTGTATGAACATGGTTATTTATTAACATGTAGGTATAAAGACATTACACTGTGGTTCGGTTTTTTGACACTACTTGTTTTTATTAAGAAAGATGAGGACGTGTATATTAATCTCTTCTGATATCAATAATTCTAATTGTGTTTTATTTAAGATGACACCTTTTTCGGTCACACTTACACGTGGAAGTGATTCATCTGCACTGACAATGACGAAAATAAAATATCAACGGTTATTGTTTATCATATTTGTTCTCACCTATCCAAGTGGTGTTTGCTCGAGGAGTGTTATTAATTCGGAGAGCAATGACAAATATATTAATTATGACGGGCGTGAACGGTTTAGCGTTTGTTCGTTCACTGACAATTTGACGGAAAGATGAAAAACTTTTCTTTCGGCATTCCTTTAGGGCAACTGACTTTGTTCTTACAACCATAAATGAAGGGTACTTGAATATTAAATTTCCTGTTTTGTATAATATCGCCGTGGATATCCGGATAACAATACCTTAAAATATTAAAGTAATGTTTTGTGTAACCCGAAGAGCATGCAAGTGCCGCTTGTCAACGTCATGTCAGAAAATGTTGACGGGTCTATTATATGATGTACAAGTAAGACAGCATTTTTATTAAATCAAGTCATTCTTTCTATTTCATCTATTTCAAATCCCCCAGCTATTCTCCTGGTCCTGACCCCGCTTATCATTGGACGATTATACAGCCAGCGCCGAGTGCGTCGCGCTCTGTCCAACACCAACGACAGCGCCTTAAAGAACAAGGACAACACCACCAAGACCACAGCCCTTCTCCTGGGGGTCGCCATAGCATTCCTGGTGCTTGTTAACCCTATAGCTACCGCCCACATTGTGACAGTAATTACGGGTAAGTGAATAGGAAGTGGATAAAATTGGTATGGAATTGACATTATTTTTTGGTCACCACTTGCTCTTTTCCATGTGAGTGCCCCAAAGTATGCAAATCCAATATGGCCGCCATGTCACTGACATTTGACCTCTTTCAAATAACCTTTGTCAAACCTTTTATGGCGCTGAGTATAAGACAAGTTCGACGAATGCAGTTGTGCCATATCAGAAGTAATGGTAATGCTAATTTTTTTCTTAAAATATGGCGAAGATGGATTTTCTCATGGTTGTGTTTTATTTATGAAAGAAATCATAAATACGGCATAAATATATATATCCTGCTCGTAGTACAGGTTATCCAAGCAATTTCAAGAAATGTTTACAGCTGGATAAATTTAACCAGGAAAAAAAAAAACTATTTGACGTCACCAGACGTCTAAATAACGGGTACCTTAGCAAACACCCCTGGTGGCAGTCAAATAACAAATTGGCATTACTCACATGTATTTCCAAGATTTGTCATCTTGTCATAATTGATAATAGGTAATGATTCCTTTTTTATGCAAGTACTAGCCTACAGTCCTGCTTAAAAATCCAACAATCTACAGGTACTAATATTTCTTTTCTAGGCAGGAATATTTTCGAGACCAATGAACCAGGAATCCAGGTGTATCGCGAGATCGCTCAGTTACTGGAGACAACGAATTACTCCATCAACTTCTTCATCTACGTCATCTGGAATCAGCAGTACCGACAACGCTTTCTCTCCATGGTGTCCTGTCTTGTCTGCAAGTGCACAGGGAAGAAGTCCGCTTCCGGGCAGAGCGGAAAGGAGAACAGCGCCAACAAAACGCTTCAGACCGGCCTCAGCAAGGGGGCGGCCACCAGTGAGGGTGAAAAAGGGGGCAATGCTGACAGCAAGGAAGATCCCCCGAAGACGCAAAATTCTGTGAATGGGGACGCCGCTCCCAACCAAGATGAGGTTATTAGCTTTGATGATGCAAAATGTGATTCGGTTCAGGTGTCCAACGTAAACGAAAGTGAAAGCCATGCTGCAGAAGTATGTATCGTCCCCAGTGACGTCATGGAGTAGGGAGACCCCAGTCAAACATAATATGACCTAATGCATGAGTTCATCCATGCCGTCATGACAAAGAACTTATTATTGGTAGACATCACGATATCAATGTATGACGACGTAACAAAAATAAATTCAACATAACTGTTTCAGAAAGAAAAAAAATGGCTGCGAAATAATATACTGTCGGACTAGCGATGTATGCCAGAGCATCTCGAACGTCAGCAAGACAGGTGTTTTCGGCATATTTCAAAAGAGGGTGGAAGTGTTTTATTGAGAATATGAATACCGAGAAAGTACTCGCATTTTTCCGAAAAACAACCCTAAAGCCGACATAGACGTATACTGATACGATCCCATTCGTATAATATCTCTAGGTACTTCTAAATCTTCTGTTGATTAATTGATATATTGTTGTACACGTTAGGAAAGTTACAGGGTACGGCTGTCGTATAAGTAGCACGTGAAATAATATATTCGAATTTGTTTAGTAGTTACTGTGAAAAGATAATGCCCACACTGATAAACACTTTTAAAATGATTTTCGCTCTTTATATTCCCCTTCATGTTGCATCTATTTATTTAAAGGATCATTCTCAAATGTCAGTCTATACGCAAAGATATATATCAATCGAGTGTGTTCTGGAGCATAATTGAGTGTTATATAATATTCCCTTTAGCCTTGTACTCATTTAAGCAATTTAAGTGTGTTACATTCACCCTGTTTAAGAAGTGGTTCATAATGAATTATATAGAAGGAAATATATACAATGATACAATGATTTTGTTAATTTTGGTGCAGATACCGGAAGAACATTCATCATTTCATTCTTCGAATCCTATAGATGATTTTTTGCCCTCTTTTGTTCATGTTTTATCTATTATTCAATATATATTTTTAGTTTAAATGTTGTATTAGAGATACCAATGCATCTGGAAGTACGCACATGTTACAGCACCATAAAATTGCGCTCAGACGAGGATTACTTTAGACCGAAACGGTGATACATACGTCATTAGACAACGAAAGTTGGTTTCACGCAGCCACTTTAAGTGAAAGAATTCATATTTACAATACTGTTTATTCAATTTCCTTGGGGCCAGCTTTGTCAAAAATAATATCAAAACTGAAAGTTGGTTCGACGTATTGACCGAAATTAGGTCAACTTCAATGCAGTATTTGTTTGCGCGGGTTCACTGAAATATCTGTCCGAAAAACATCACCCCATTTCTTAATTTTTGTTAAACACTGCTAATATTCCCAATAAATTCGTGTATTGATGATAAATATTTGCAGAGAAAGGACCGCACTTTTTACTGATGCATGTTCTGTTCACTAAATCAACTTTCAAATCGAGTTGTTCTGTGAAAAAGGTCGCTTTGTAATTGAAAAGGCGATTCTTTTTTCAAGAAGTTGAACGGATTACAAGGAAGACTGCATGAGAATCTCAAAGATTACATAAAAATTGGGTTTGTCTGTAATATCTGTAATGTCTGATGTAGTGATGGAAGTTAGGTCTAAAGTAGTCTTCTATGAACAGGTCATACGGAAGCTCCCTCTATCGTGCGATGTAAGATTAATATGAAGTATTTTGTCATGTCATACGTTCGTATGTGTATTGTACTGGTAGTAATAAATATATCAAAATCTTTGATTTGATTTTAATTTTTTTCATATAGGCCTCCTTTTAAACTAGAGGTTAAAAGCATAAATCCAGTCACGAAATAGTAAATAACATTTCGACAATATTTACAAACAAAACAGCAATGCTTCCCAAATAGAAATATAAATGTCAAGACTGATGGTAACAGTGACACTCAAATATTACTTCAGATCCACACCTGGAATTGATGAAAAAATTAATTACTTCAAGATGAAAAATCGATTAAGCTGGTTTTCAAAAACGAAAAATACTTAAGTTCTATGAAGCATTTATACACATTTGAGAATAATTAGAAACATTGTTTTCCTGTCATCATTATGGCATAATTTACCATTTTGACTTGTTGGACTTTCATATGATCGTAATGCATCAATTGTTGTTATTTTAGAATTACATAATTAATTTCTGGTGTTGTTCTGGTGACAGAGGATATTTAAAAAGGCATAAGGTGTTTTAAGTGAATTCCAAGATGAATTTTCCTGTAGTTGTCACATGCTGAAGATGTTTTGTGCTTGTTCGTCCATTGGAAACAATGAGAACTATGTAGTCGTCTTGTGGATTTCTATTGGTACATAGATGACTTGTCTGGCCAAATCGTGCTTGGAAGGATCACTGGCACTGTCAACTAGGAAAGTAGGCTGCTTCCTGGACTTTTTTTTTTGCATTATCCCCCTTGCCTACCTGCGCAGCTGCTGTTTTCTGGTAGGTTTTGCGGATTCCTTCTTTTGTGTAAAGATACCACTTTCCTCTGATACGACTTGTTCCCATGCATTGATGTTTCTCTAGGAACTGGATTTTAATATATTGTTTATGTCTGTTCCTCATACGACACTGACCAAAGCTCAATTCTTACTGGCTGTTGTCTTATTGGCCTACCAGAGCTGATCATGCATGTTTCTTTGTGCTGTGATGCTGGATGATTTTGCAGACAAGATCTGGAGCTATTTCAAAGCAAAGCCCATTTGCTTGTCTCTCACGGGCATTTACGCATCAACACAACTTATCAAGTTCCATCGTATGATAAGACCACACATTTTTCACCCTTCAAATCTTCTGGACTATATTTAACATGCAAATGCAAGCCCCAGTGACTGGGACATAAATGTACATGTGGCTTTTTTTCACAGTGACCAGTAAAAGATTAATATCACTACGTATATACAGTATATTTATTGGTTACCTTTAAATTATACACTATCTTTTAGTGGATGGTCACTTATGATAAATCTACATGTAGTTGATATATTTTAGCATGATTTTCGGGCTCCACGTTTTTTTAACACACTCAGCGAAACTCATCTTGGAATTTACTTTAAAACCTTATATGACCTTTTTATTATCTTCCGTCACCAAATTAGCACCAGAAATTACTTTTGAGCCCCCAGAATAGTACCAATCGACCTATTAAAAGCGTATGAGGGTCCCACAGTTCAAAGATGATAAATTACACCAAAATATTAAAATAGCGGCATGCAACCAACACTTGGTTTTAATCAAAATAATGGCCAAAAAATTTCCTCATGCGGTCAAAGATGTTTTTTCTTTAATTCAGCCATTTTGTTTACTGACACTTGTTTAATAGATCAGGCAAAATCCTTTAAATATGTTAAGAAACATAGATTTGTACAAATTAGACTACTAATTATAACTGTAGATACAACATGTGACGACTGAATCCTATATTAATTTGGATGCTTATAAAAGTTTCTATTTAAATTTTATGAAACATATGACACCAAAAACGTATTCTGCACCAGGAAATAATCAGAAACGACGTATGGCACGCTTATGAAGGTGTCATAGTTTTAAATGGTGAATTATGCCCAATTTCAAAATGGTATCTGGCGGCCATCTTGAATTTGAGGGACAAACTGGCCTCCAATTGCCTCCATAATGCCAAAAATAGAGTTTCTTGTTCATAATTTTGTCCAGTATCTATGGTTTATAACATAAAATTGCATTGAGATGTATTTAAATACGGATTACCAAAATCCATGGTTTTGAAGCCTTCACACACATATATCTTGGTAGTCACTTAAAACACCCTCTTTGTCCCTTTAAATCACCTTCTATCACCTAAACATCATAAAATATTTTGCACCCTCAAAATATTAGTAATCGATATATATCAAGTATATGTAGATTATACACTTAGAAATTCAAGAGAGAATTACAAAATTGTGTCCGTACATTCAAAATGGCGGATGGCGACTACTTGGATTTGAGGCACAAAATGACCGCCATTTGCTTCCGTGATATCAAAAATGGGTTCCTTGTCCCTAATTTAGTGTGGGTTTGATAATCTATGCATATTTAAAGGCCAAGAATTGATGGAAATATGAAATATTGTATAATACTGGTAACAAGTTGGACGGGTTGTGTTAAAAAAAACAACATTCTATACGTAGCTATATGTGCACCAAACCTCCACGGCCTCCTCACGAAATCTGTTTTTTTTCTGCCACAATGCTTCGTTGCTAAAACGCTGACAAAAGCATTGGCAGAACCGTAAAGAGCGATCGCCGGTGTAACGTGGCAGAGAGTCCCCCATGACAAAGAGTCCGCTTCCCATTCATTTGTACAGGTAAGTCTCGCTGTAGATTTTGACCCACTTTAGGTTAGGCTAAGCCTAACCATTATAAGTAAATGGGGGGGGGGGGGGGGCGGATTTTCTGTTACACGTGAACTTAGTTTTGTTACACCGGCACTGAGAGGGGACGCTGAGTCAAAGAGAGCAATTGTCAATGCTTTGAAGCTCATGGTTTCCGTACCCATTTTGATATCAACTTTAATTCATGAACGCGGAGGTAAAATTAAAACAAATCACAGTTCCATATATCAACCTTATATGTTGTACATTTTCTTATGCATCAGAATTGACTGAAATTACAGGTACATGTGTTTGCCATTTAAGCCTCTTAACACTTGATGATTTAAGACAAGAATAATCGACGTGCTCGAGGGTAGAAACAAACAACACCATAGACCACACAGCCAAAACGAATTTGATAAGGGGTTATTATTTTCTACTCTTTGTTTTTCTACAGTTGAAACGGCCTTGCACTCTACATAACGTCGATTTTCATTCTTCTGGCAAGTGAAACGAGTTCATGAACTTCCATTTCTGAAATATTTGTTTACTTAGCTCAATTGTTTTATAGATTATGAAACGGCTTTAAGTAGGTACCACTGATGCCTTATTGTCAAACTGCTGATAATTGACCAGAAAACTGCAAATTGCAGAAAATTGTTACTTAATCGACTTATTAATTTCCCAAGGTGTTCAAGAATAATAAGAGCGTAATTATATACCATACGTGTGATTGTTGATTTCTTTCGTGAGGAAATAAA